AATGAGGGCACAACAATACAAAATATATGGGATACAGCAAAAGCAGTTCTGAGAGGGAAGTTCATAGCACTATAGGCCTACCTCAAAAAAGAAGAAAAATCTCTAATAGACTACCTAACCTCACAACATAAAGAACTAGAGAGTAAACAAAAAGAAAACCCCAGAGCAAGTAGAAGAAAGGAAATAGTAAGGATCAGAGCAGAAATAAACGACATAGAGACCAAAAAAACAATTCAGAGGATCAATAAAACAAAGAGCTGGTTTTTCGAAAAGATAAACAAGATTGATAGACCCTTAGCTAGACTCAACAAGAAAAAAAGAGAGAGAACCCAAATACATAAAATCAGAAATGAAAGAGGAGAGATAACAACTGACACCACAGAAATACAAAAGATCGTTAACAACTACTATGAACAATTATACGCCAACAAATTCGAAAATCTAAGCGATATGGACAAATTTCTAGAAACCCATAGTCTCCCAAAACTGGATCAGGAAGAGATAGAAAACTTGAACAGAACAATAACAACAGAAGAAATCGAAGATGTAATCAAGACTCTTCCAGCAAACAAAAGCCCAGGCCCAGATGGCTTCACGGGGGAGTTTTACCGAACATTCAAAGAAGAACTAATACCCATTCTCCTCAAACTATTTCAAAAAAATTCAAGAAGAAGGAAGACTTCCAAACTCGTTTTATGAAGCCAGCATAATTTTAATTCCAAAACCAGAAAAAGACACTACGAAGAAAGAAAACTACAGGCCAATATCCCTGATGAACATAGATGCCAAAATCCTGAACAAAATACTAGCAAATCGAATCCAGCAATGCACCAGAAAAATTATCCACCATGACCAAGTGGGATTCATCCCAGGGATGCAAGGCTGGTACAATATTCGCAAATCCATAAATGTGATACACCACATAAATAAATTGAATAATAAACACCACATGATAATATCAATAGATGCTGAAAAAGCCTTCGACAAAATCCAGCATCCATTTCTGATAAAAACGCTCAGCAATGTAGGAATAGAGGGATCATATCTCGACATAATAAAGGCCATATATGAAAGACCTACAGCCAACATCATACTCAATGGGCAAAAACTAGAAGCATTTCCCTTAAGAACAGGAACAAGGCAAGGATGCCCACTTTCGCCACTCCTATTTAACATAGTACTGGAAGTCTTAGCCACAGCAATCAGACAGGAAGAAAAAATAAAAGGGATCCGAATTGGAAAGGAGGAAGTGAAATTGTCATTATTTGCAGATGACATGATACTGTACATAGAAAACCCCAAAGACTCCACACCAAAAGCTTACTAGACTTAATAAATGAATTTGGCAAAGTAGCAGGATACAAAATTAACGTCAAGAAATCGATGGCATTCTTATACACCAATGATGAACTCACAGAAACAGAAACTAAGCAAACAATCCCATTTACCATTGCGGCAAAAAAATTAAGATACCTAGGAATAAACTTAACCAAAGAAATAAAAGACCTATTCGCAGAAAACTACAGGTCTTTGAAAAAAGAAATAGAGCAAGATATAAAAAAGTGGAAGCACATACCCTGTTCATGGATTGGGAGAATTAACATCATTAAAATGTCCATATTACCCAAAGCAATATATAGATTCAACGCAATCCCCATCAAAATACCAACGGCATACTTCACAGAATTAGAACAATTACTTCAAAAGTTCATATGGAACCAAAAAAAGCCACAGCAATCTTGAAAAGGAAGAACAAAGTTGGAGGGATCACAATACCAGATTTCAGGTTATACTACAAAGCCACCATAATCAAAACAGCCTGGTACTGGCACAAGAACAGGTATATAGACCAGTGGAACAGAATAGAGAACCCAGAAATGGAACCAAGGCAATATGCTCAATTAATATTTGACAAAGGTGGCAAGAGGATACAGTGGAGTAAGGACAGCCTCTTTAATAAATAAATGGTGCTGGGAAAATTGGACAGCTACTTGCAGAAAAATGAAACTAGACCATCAACTTACACCCTACACCAAAATAAACTCAAAATGGATAAAAGACTTAAATGTAACTCATGAATCCATAAAAATCCTAGAGGAGACTGTGGGCAACAAAATCTCAGACATCATACGCAGCAGAATTTTTACTGACACATCACCTAAGGCAACAGAAACAAAGGAGAAAATGAACACATGGGACTACGTCAAACTCAAAAGCTTCTGCACAGAGAAAGATACAATCATCAAAACGGAAAGGCTACCCACTGTATGGGAGAGCATAATTGCCAATGATATATTAGATAAGGGGTTAATTTCGAATACGTATAGAGAGCTCATACAACTCCACAAAAGGAAGACAAAGAATCCAATTAAAAAATGGGCAGAGGAACTAAATAGACACCTCTCCAAACAGGACATACAAATGGCTAAGAGACATATGAAGAAATGCTCATCATCACTAATCATCAGAGAGATGCAAATCAAAACAACAATGAGGTATCACTTCACACCTGTCAGAATGGCCGCCATCAACAAATCATCAAACAACAAGTGTTGGCAAGGGTGTGGAGAAAAGGGGACTCTAGTGCACTGCTGGTGGGAATGCAGATTGGTGCAGCCACTGTGGAAAACAATATCGTGTCACCTCAAAAAATTAAAAATTGATCTTCCATTTGACCCAGTGATCCCACTTCTAGGAATATACCCTAAGAAGCCTAAAACACCAATCAGAAAGAATATATGTACCCCCATGTTTGTAGCAGCACTATTTACAATCGCTAAGATCTGGAAACAGCCCAAGTACCCATCAGTAGACGAATGGATCAAAAAGCTGTGGTACATATACACAATGGAGTACTACGCAGCGGTAAGAAAGAAAGATCTCTTATCCTTTGAGACTACATGGAGGGACCTGGAAAGTATCATCCTAAGTGAAAGAAGCCAAACAGAGAAAGACAAATTTCATATGATCTCACTGATTTGTGGAATATAATGAACATAACAGTCTGAGGAATGGGGTAGTCCCAGAGACGCGGAAGCGGCGCACAGACTGACAATCCCCTAAGGAGTGGGGAGGTGGGGGAGGGATGAACCACAGAACTTATACGCATGTATGCATGAACAGTGGACATGGACAACAATCTGGGGAAGGGGCAGGGAGGGGTTGTGGAGGGGGGAATCAGTGGGGGGGGGGGAAGGAGAATCATCTGTAACAAAAATTAATCAATAAAAAATAAATATATATAAAAAAAAAGAAAGAAAACTATGAGCTTCAGGCAGAGTGAATAGGACCCTAGAAATCGGAAATAGCGCTCAGATGGTCAAATACAAATATTCAAAGGCAATATACTGCAACAGAGCTTTCTGGGGAGACAGCAATGTTCAATATCTGTCTGTTCTATCCAACGTGGTAGCCACTGGCCCTGAGAACCTACTGAGTGTCACAATGTAGCTAATGCAACTGAGAAATCTTCTAATTGTACTTAATTTTATTTACATTCAAACTTAAATAGCCACTTGTACTGGATTAGCACTGACCTACACAAGCCCTGCGTTACTGGATTGAGATGACCGTTCCAAGAAAAGCGATGCAACTCGGATCTTGCAGAACAAGATTTCTAGTTCACTGACCACACTTCTCTTCTCCCTCAAGTTCTAACAAAATTGGACTCACTGCATACCAAGCTCTAATTCTTTGTTTGTAAATCCTTACCTGAATACATTTTTCTGTTTATCATCAGACAGAGTGGGAGGGAGGGAGAGAGAGGGAAAGAGAGAGGGGGAGAGAGAAACATCGATGTGCTAGAGCCACGTTGACTGGTTGCCTCCTGCATGACCCAACCAGGGCCGGGGATGAACCACAACTGAAGTACGTGCCCTTGACCAGAATCGAACCCACAACTCTTGGGTCCACGGGCCAATGCTCTAACTACTGATCCAAACTGGCCAGGGCCAAACTCTAATTCTTCTTGTTTTTTTATCCTCACCCGAGGACATTTTTTCCATTTTTTACTCAGATAGAGCGGGAAGGAGAGAGAGGAAGAGAGAGAAACATCGATGTGAAAGGGACACATCGAGTGGCCGCCACCCACACGACCCAACCAGGGCCGGGGACAAACTGCAGCCAAGGTGCATGCCCTTAGCAGGAACCGAACCCGGGTCTCTGTGGACCGCAGGCTGACGCTCTAACCGCTGAGCCAAACCAGCCAGGGCCTGAACTCTAATTCTTAAACAGAATAAATGTATTACAGACATTGATTAAAGACTTTTAGCAGCCATGCCTATACACAGAGGTCTTGTTACATAGTAGCTAGCACTCAGAGCTATTTTTTATTTTTTGCAACTTCATGGCTGGGCGAAGTCTAACCTTCTTTCTCAAAGCTAATGTGGTGATATTAAGTGAAACAGCAGCTTTCTTCATTGATGTCATTGTTGTTATGCCTGTTTCTGTTGGGAAGGACTGGTTTTATTTTGTTCTTCACTATCAAACTCATTTTTAAATGTCTTCAGCTTACTGTTCGCTGTCCAAACTTCTCCCGAGATTTAGAACAAATAGATTTTCCCAGTTAGGCTGCTCATCACTATTTTCCAAGTTTCCAGTGTGAAACATTAAGGCAGGATGTATTTCAATTTTTCCTTTTTCCTTTTAATTTTCATTAGAAAGAATCTATTTTTGAGGCCACTGCCGAATTGAGACCTCCGAATACTTCATAAGTGTTAAAACCTTGCCAAACCCACAGAAATGTGTGCTCTGCTTGAAAGGAATTGTTAAATAGAATCCTATGACAAATCATTTACCAAAGGGAGAGTGTTTAACTGATTTTCTGGCTCCTCTCCTTCCATCAACTGAGTCGTATTGAAATCCTTAAATTCTGTCCGTGTCACAACTGCCCACAGAATTTCCGGAATTACACTCTCTCTCCAGGGAAGGCGAGGCGAGAGCAAGGCCTCCTGGAGTGTTTCCAAGGCACCACCCACCTCCACACGAGTACTTACCACCTGCCTCCTGCGGCGATGGGAGGAGTGCGGTCCGCACAGGGAGGCCTGGGCAGACGAGCACATCGCTGTCACACAGCAAGGCCACACTTCCACCTGAAGTTCAGGGCTTCCAAGGAGCTGGCTAGTGTTGGAGGCTGCCCACCAAGGGAATCTACGTAGATACTCAACTCTGTAAACCAAGAGCCTGAGTCAGAACCCCGGTTCCACTGCTGAACATCAGACATGCATTTAATACATATGTCCCTCTGTTTCTTCATCCATAAAATAAGGGTGATAATAATATGTACCTTAGAATGTGGCTCTCTTAGTTAAGTAAGTTAGTACAAGCACCTGGAACAGTGCCAGGCACACCAACATAGTAGCTTGTGTTAATACACATTTCACATAATCACAGTATACAAATGCAAAAGGACTTGAAATGTTAGTCATTTCACATGTATATGATCTCTTTCATGATCTCGGAAACACTTTTTACACATACCTTTGGGACTTCAGTATTTACATTCTAGAAACAGCAATAAAATGTTAAGTACTCATTTACTACTGGTTACAAGCAGAATTCACAGAAAAGGGGTTTTCGTGAAACATGAAATTTCAGAAGGAAAAAGTAACAGGAGAAAAATTATATACACGATCAATAAACATGATCTGGTTTTAAGAAAGACCTGAATGTACCGATGTACATCTTGAGAGTGAAGTCCAGCAGCAGCGACAGAACGCTGACGGCAGGCGGGAACAGAAGTCCTACGGAAGGAAGCAGGTGGCCTCTACGCAGGTGAGCAGAAGCCCAGCGGTTCTGCCATCAGGAAACGGAGGCTGGTGGAACAGCTTCCCTCGGGGCAGGATCGAGGTGGGGAGACGGAGGGGGTAGGAAACAGCGATACTTTGTCATCCACTCTTAAACCGCTTGATTTTTAACTATGTACCAATATTGGGGGTGATTGAAATTCAAATGATTTTTCTCAAGCTCAATGAGTCACAAAATAAATTCAGTACGTTTTTTAAATGTCAATACTTTTTTAAAGGCAAGTCTTGATGGAAAGGCACCGTGCAAGGCGCAGCGCGGCGACCGCCGGTATGATCTATCCGCAGATTTGGAAGTAGCTGGGAGAGGATCCTGGAGGTTCTCATCACAAGGAGCAAAGTCTGGAGCTACGTGTGGGGACAGAGGGAAACTGGCCCACTGTGGTGGTGAGCATTTTCAGTACATACAAATAGCACACCGTGATATAGTACACCAGAAACAAAAGCTGATGTCTACTATACCTCAATTAAAAAATTAAATTTGAAACGTTTTTTTTTTATCTTCACCCGAGGACATTTTTGCGTCTATCTTCAGACCGAGCAGGAGGGATAGAGGGAGGAAGAGAGAGAGAGACAGACATCGACGTGAGAGAGACACACTGAGTGGTCACCACGCACACAACCCCAACAAGGGCCGGGGACAAACTGTTACTGAGGTACATGCCCTTAGTGGGAACCGAACCTGGGTCTCTCTGGACCGCAGGCCGACGCTCTAACCGCTGAGCCAAACCGGCCAGAGCCGAAACCATTTTTGAAAAGGTGCTACAGTTTTCTCAGGTCAGGACTATCATCCCCAGGCCGCCGGCCCCCTCGGCACCCCTGTTGAAAGTGAGGGACACGCACTCCTGTCAGGGGTGCGGCACAGTCCCCTTCTCGGCGTGGGGCACTGCAGAGGTACCACCACATGGCCGCGTCTTCCCACAGCTGAGAGCTGTCCACCACTGTTCCCGCACTGCGCGCGACGGCTCCTGGACATACGGATGTGAGCACACGCGGTCAACAGAAGGAACACGGCCTCCAGCCACACAGGCCTCGTTCTGACGTCTTGTTTAACCTTCAAGCTTAAATTAATTTCTCTAACCTGCATTTTCTCATCTATCAAATGGAACTAGTAATTCCTATTATTACAAATAAAAAAATGCATGTAAACCAGTTTGCGGTGTGCATGGCGCACAGTAGGTATTCAATACGTGATGAATATTTTATTATACACACTCCCATGGTATTTGAGTCAGAATTTTGTAATCCAAGTAACCAGAAACTCACAGGCAGGCCTACAAAACTAGGTCATGTTTCCTCTTCAAGTTTAAATGATCATGGCACAGATCGGCTTCCGGTCAGGACAGCGGGCAGGTAACTGCGGCATCGCCTCCTCCACAACCACATCAAAGCTACAGCGAAACTACAACATAACCATCCTTCAGAACTGCCTGAAATCGAGCTGAAGGGAAGTCCTACAGCTACAAAATTCAAGAAGAAGCCACATGGAGACTGGTAGGAGGGCAAAGGCGGACACCCACATGTGACAGATAAAACTCAGGGGGACACCTTGGCTGGGAAGGTCCTCCCTGAGGACTGAGGGGTCCCCGTCCCACACCAGGCCCCCAGCTCAGGGTTCTAGTGCCAGGAAGAGAGTCCCCATCACTTCTGGCTGTAAATCCAGCGGGAACTGAGGCTCGGGGAGGCTGAGGTGGCTGGAGCCCCAGGCAGCTCCTCTTAAAGGACCCGCATACGCACTTACTCAGACTTGCTCCCTCTGAGCTAAGATGGGGGGCAGCTTGAGGAGGCAACAGAGACATACAGGGAAGAACTGAGCTGTATGGCCTCCAGACAAGGGCTGGAGAGGTGGCTTTCTCCTGGGCAGAAGTGCTGGTGGAGGCCTTTGCTGAGCCCTTCCCTGGGGCGGCAGACGCCACCACAGCTGGGCCTCCAGCAACCTGGCTCACACTGGTAGCCCCGCCCTGGTTACTCCCTGAGGGCCCACCCCACCCAACTTTCAGGCCCACCCAAGTCGTTTCCAGTAGCTTTACCATAGGATTGTCTGGGATCCTGCTTCAGAGTTTCCTAAATTCTCTCAACAAGCAGCATCTGGTCTCAGCCAGCCCCATACCTCTCGCTAAGTGGCCCCAGGCCTGGCACTAGAAGCAGCCAAACTTGGTTCACGACTGGGCTTTTCCTGGGCACCTCCAAGTACAGCACAAGAAGCAACTGTCTACAGATCACTTTCTAGCTTATGCCTGGTGACCCCGGGTAGGACACAGGCAGAGGCTGACCTGGCCCCAGAGCCAGCACACCCCGTGGACAGCTTCAGACCACATAGAAGCACCACCACCCAAGCACCTCCACAAGTGACACACTCAGTGAGTGGACTCAGTGGGTACCAGAGCCCTGCTGAAGTAAGTCTTGCTCTGTGTGGTGGGCCCTACACAGCTGATCCTCCAAGGTAGTCAGAGGTCAGTGGTCAGTGGGTACAGCCAGTCCTTGCAGGTGATCAGCCTGAGTAAATCCCCCCCATTGACATGCCAACAGCAATCAACATTCAATTATAACAAAAGGGTATAAATTCCACACTAGGGGTGCACCTCGAGGGCCTAGCTGGGGTGATCAGGGAGACTATACCACTGGACCCTACAGGACACCTACTATAATAGGCCACCCTATGAATCTTAGGAAACATAGCAACTCTACCTAATACATAGAAACAATCACAGAGAAGCAGCCAAAATGAGGAGACAAAGTAACATGTCCCAAATGAAAGAACAGAATGAAACTCCAAGAAAAGAACTAAATGAAATGGAGATAAGCTATCTAACAGATGCAGAGTTCACACAGGTTATAAGGTTGCTCAGGGAACCTGGTGAGACATTCAAGGGACTTACTGAGAACATCAACAACATAAAAAAGGACCAGTCAGAAATTAAGGATGCACTAACTGAAATAAAGAATAATTTACAGGGAATAATTTACAGGTAAGCCAAGAAGCAAACCATCAATTTGGAATATAAGGAAGCAGAAAACACCCAACCAGAACAGCAAAAAGAAAAAAGAACCCCCAAAAATGAGAATAGTGTAAGGAGCCTCTGGGACAAATTCAAGCATGCCAACATTCACATCATAGGGGTGCCTGAAGGAGAAGAGAGAGAGCAAGAAATTGAAAAACTATTTGAAACAGTAATGACAGGAAACTTCTCTAACTTGGTGAAGGAAACAGACATACGAGTCCAGGAAGCACAGAGAGTCCCAAAGAAGATGAACTCAAAGTGGCCCACACCAAGACACATCATCATCAAAATGCCAAAGGTTAAAGACAAAGGGAGAATCTTAAAAGTAGTGAGAGAAAAGCAGTTAGTTACCTACAAAAGAGCTCCCCTAAGACTGTCAGCTGATTTCTCAAATGAAACTTTGCAGGCCAGAAAGAAGTGGCAAGAGATATTCAAGGTGATGAAAAGCAATGACCTACAACCAATATTACTCCATCCTGCAAAGCTATCATTTAGAATCAATGGTCATATAAAGAGTTTCCTAGACAAGAAAAAGCTAAAGGAGTTCATCATCACCAAACCTGTATTATATGAAATGTTGAAGGGTCTTCTTGAAGGAGAAGAAAAAAAATATGAACAATAAAATGGCAATTAATATATATCTATCAACAATTGAATCTACAAACAAAATGAGCAAGCAGAACAGAAACAGACTCATAGATACAGAGAACTTTTTGTTGCTTGCCAGATGAGTGGAGGCTGGGGGGATGGGTAAAAATGATGAAGGATTTAAGAAGTACAAATTGGTTGTTAGACTGATGAACCTCAAAGGGAAGGGGGGAGGGAGGGTGGGATGAGATAAACCAAAGAACTTCTATGCATATGTGCACCACCAATGGAGGCAGGAGGGGGTGGGATTGGGAGGAGGGGGTCAATGGGGAAAAAAATAAACATCTGCAATACATTCAACAATAAAGATGAGTTTAAAAAAAAAATTTTTTTTAAATCATCATGGCACAATTCTCCACAAGGTTAATTACCAACAATGGCACCCAAAAAATGTCCCCAGTTATTTGGGGGGCATTCCAAAGGGTCCTTGCAATTGCCCAAAACACAGTTACCCGGCATGCCTGTCCTCAGTGTCTTGTTCTGCCTTTTATATCTCCCGCCTAGGAGCCGCTGGGGGAGTCTCCCAGACCAGCTGGCCACGTCCGTGATGCCACCAGGCCAGTGCATGGCAGGAAAAAGAAAGAAAAGGCCTCTGTCCCAATTCTGGGCCATTCAATAGCCAAGATTTATTAGTCTGGGAGGGGCAGGTAATTTAAGTTATGGAATTGGGGTTTAATTTCTTTTTTAAATGAGGCAGGTGTCAGTCTGTGTGAGAATTTCTGCAGATGTTGTTCCGGCCACTGGTGAAAATAGGCCAATGCCATGGTGACACTCAGGACTCGGGCGCAGGCTCCTTCCAAAGCAGTTTCATGACTCAAAGTAACCCTGTGGCCCTGGCTGGTGAAGCTCGGCGGTTAGAGCATCAGCCCACGATCAGAGTGAAGGGCTCAATTCCTTATCAAGGGCACCCGCGGACCTTGGTTGTGTGTTTGATCCTTGGCCCCAGTCTGGGTCTGCAGGAGACAACCAATCAATGTCTCTCTCTCTCCTCCTTCCCCTATCCCACTCTACCTAAAAAGACCAATGGAAAATATCTTCGGATGAGAATTTAAAAAAAAAAAAGTGTAGCCACCGATGTGACCCAGCCTGAGGAGTATAGTCAATCCTCATCACTTTCAGATTCCACATCTGCACATTTGCCTCCTCGCCAAAATGTATTTGCAGCCCCAGGAATCCATACACATGGTGCCTTCCTGTAACTCTTGAACATGGGCCTAGGCAGAGAGGTGGAAAATTGGTCAGCCATGAGCATGCCCAGTGGAAGTCAAACGAGGGCACTATGCCTTCTTGTTTAGTCCTGAGAATACAGACACGTCCTTTTCAACGTAGTCGGTGCTGTGCTTGTCACATCATTGTCCTTTCTGTTGGCGATTTTGCCCTTAAACTGCCTATGTTCCCAGGCTCAGGGAGCTGTGCTGCGTCCTACAGAAAAAGCCATGTTGGAGGAGCTTCGTTGAGGCGGGAGTCACTGCTATTGGCTGTGAGTTCATGTGAATGAATCAAAAACAACATTAAACGAGGTTTTTAAACAGAAACACACATTGAACAAGGTTATGGACTGATTGGTTGACGAAAATGTTGTGACCAAAGGCTCCCAGGCACTAACCTCTACTCCCCGGGAAAGATGATTCAGTATTCGCTCATTCCTGGACCTGGTTCAGTATTTGCGAACTCACGTCCCCTGGTTCAGTGTTCACTCATCCGTGTTCCCTGGTTGAGTGTTGGCTAATCCGTGTGCCCTGGTTCAGTGTTCCTGAGAGTGCCTATGTAACTGTTGCGAAGAATGAAAATCTGTTTGTTGACGTAGTTGAGGCCCTCTGTCTGGCTACTAGGGGAATGAGCATGAGACACACACTGTGGGACAGGCCTGCAGACAAGCACCGGGGATCCCGATTCTGCTCGGACAGGGACATGTTCTTGGGAGGCCATGGGAGAGGAAGCCGCCAACGGGCTGAGCCTCAACAGAATGGGGTGTCTGCAGCTGGGATTGCCCACTCATCAGAAATGACCCTCCCCACTTTCCCCAGGGCCAGGAAGGGGGGGGTCCAGGCCACTCAGCCCAGGTCCAGGGGGGCCTCCACACTGGAGCTTCCCAGACCCTGGACATCAGGCCCTGACTCGGGGCGCCCACTCAGGCCTGGAAAACTCCTTCTCAGATTTCCTCTCTGGAGCCTGCACCTGCGAAGTGGGTTTCTGTGTTCCAGTGCCCAGTGTTAGAAGGGTATGGATTTACCTGAACTACATGAGCAGACACAAGTGATACACCGTGGAGCATCGATGAAGTCGGCCGTCAGAAGGTTCTGCAGCCCTCACAGGGCGCTGGGTTGCTGCTCACAAACTCCTCTCGGCATCTGACCATCACCTCTTGCCCGGCACCTCGAATCTCTGTTAGGGCACAGGTCCGCCCGTCTCCACACATGGCCATGCAAACCTGGACCACGGGCCTGACAGGACACATGCACACACACACGCACATACACGTATAGCGATCAGTGCACATAAACACCAGGAGAGGCATTTCTGCAGGACTGCTTTCGGGGCTCAACTCACTGAGTCCCAGGTACATATTGCATGGAGAAGTGAGATCTGACAGACAAACGAGAGTCCGGCCAACTAACGGCAACAGTTCACCCTGTGCCCACCATGTGGTCAGCGTGGCTGCGAGTCAGGCACAGGTGTTTCACACATTGACTCATTAAATCCCACACCCTCATGGGCGGTGACTGCCATAATCCTCACGTAAGACATACGGAAACCGAGGGATACATACATTAAGGAACTTGCGCCCAGTTGCACATCTAGTGACAGAAGAGAGATGTGAGCTCAGGACTCTGGTTCTCACCCTCTCAAAGTTAAGTCCTTAAAGTGAGAGAACACGCGTGGTTCCTCCCTGCAGCTCCCAGCATGACGACCGCACGCCTGGCTCACAAACACAGGTGTCATGAGAATTCTCCGGGGCTGGGATACTTCCAGTGACATCCAGTCACTTTGAAAGGGGTCAAGGAGGTGTGATGTCCATCACCAGGGCGAGGCTGCCATCACAGGCATCTGATGACACTGTGTCTCCACGTTTAGAAAAACACAAGCTGAGGCTTCGCCCGTTTCCTGCCCGGATGATCCCATCTGACTCCAGGACACGACAGTCCTGGTTAAGACAGCCATGGTTTCACGGGTCAGGGGATGTAACTTCTCGATTTGCCGACCACCAGGGGATGTGGGATGAGGAAAAGGCAAGGCACTTGGAGATTCCATGCTCAGGAGAGATGGTACCGTGTCCTGACTGAGGACGCCAGAAACCCGGGGAAGACAGGAAGGCAGGTGGCAAGACAGTAGGCAGTGTTCGTCGGCTGTGTCCCTGGAAGATGCTCGGTGGAGAACGAACACCTTTCACAAACACCACAAAGCACACGGAGGGGGTCCCAGCCACGCTGCCGCCTAGGAAACCCGAACATTCACTCACATCTAGAGAAGCATCCAGATCTGACAGTCCACTCATTTTAAATCTTTCCAAGTGAGAGGAGTCCATGAAAACAGCCCAAACAAGCATGTTTCCTGCTGTGCGGACGGCCGGTGCTGTGGCCTGCTGGCAGCATGTACCTGGGAGCAGCCCCCTCATCCGCCGCAGGGAGCCCGCCGCACGGCCACAGGGGCCCCGGGCGATCGCTTAGTGCTGGGTGGTCTGGGACCCCGTTTACCCTGCACTGCCTTTCTTCCAAGGCCGTTCTCTTCAAGACGTAAAATTTAACATCTGCGAGTAAGAAAACAAGCATTTGGAGTTTGGATACATAAAAGAAGAAAAGTCCATACACAGTGTCTGTCTTTCTCAAATATTGGTCATGTTGTAATGAGTCAATGTTACCATTTACATACTAATATAGAATTACTTTATACAAGAAGGTATTGATTTTCAAACTGCTCTTCCAGAGCCCAGGGTTCGAGGGTGTATAAGGAGCCTCATGGGTGAAGAAAGAAAGGCCAAGAGAACCACTTAGTCAATTTTTAAATCCATCATAAATTACGGTTTTACATGCAATATTTTTTTTTCTTTTATTGATTTTTAGAGAGAGAGGAAATGAGAAGGAAAGAGAGATAGAAACATCGATCAGAAAGAACATCGACTGGCCACCTCCTGCATGCCCCCCACTGGGGATTAGGCCACAACCTGGGCATGTGCCCTGACTGGGAATCGAACCAGCGACCTCTTGGTGCAGGGTCGACGCTCAACCACTGAGCCACACCGGCCAGACACAATGATGTTTTATGGGGAAACTGCTAAAATATATACAAACTACCATTCATAAAATTCTGTTAAAAAAAAAACACTGCACATCCTCATCCACTCTTTACCCCATAGAAATGATTATCGTTGGTTAGTTGTTTCCAAAATGTACCTCAGCCACGCTCAGCTAATGGTTTATGTAATTTAATATTAACTAAAGCCTCAAATGTTATCACAGAATATTTGGCACAATTGGAGATGATATACTCTCAATCTGAAAAAGCCAAATATTTAGATGCCAGTTTCAAAAACAAGAATATTACCTCTCACAATTATCACAGTGAGGTTTTTCTTTTCTTTCCGTAATCATCAGCATGTTTCTCGGTTACTGCAGTTAAATTGACAACTTTCTCTCAAAGCAGTCTGCATCTCCACTAGGTTTTCCAATATCCCACATGAATAGAAATGAGGCATTTGTATCTTGCCACAAAATTAAATTTAGCTCATATGCCTGAAGTTCAAGGGTGATTTGATTTCACATTCATTTGTCTGCAGTATTTCTGTGCATATAAAGTGCTGTTACTTTTTAAAATGTATCTTCCTTGTTGAAAGTATTACAGATGTCCCTCCTTTTTCCCCCATTGACTCCCTTCTCCCCACTCCCGCTTCCCCCCAACGCCCCCACATACTGCCTTCACTGCTCTGTGGTCTGTGTCCATTGGTTGTGCATCCATGCATATTAGTTCTTTGGTTTATCTCTCCCCACCTCATCCTCTGAAGTTTGTCAGTCTGTACCCTACTTCCATGTCTCTGGATCTATTTTGATTGTCAGCGTATTTTGTTCATTTTGTTCTACAAATAAGTGGGATCATGTGGTACTTGTCTTTCTCTGACTGGCTTAGTTCGCTTAGTATAATACTCTCCAGGTCCCTCCATGTTCTCTCAAAAGATAAGAGATCTTTCTTTCTTACAGCTGCATAGTATTCCATCGTGTAGATGTACCACAGCTTTTTATCTACTCATCTACTGATGGACACTTGAGTTGTTTCCAGATCTTAGCAATTAGCTTAGCAGTAAATAGTGCTGCTATGAACATGGGGGTACCTATATTCTTTCTGATTGGTGCTTCAGGCTTCTTAGGGTATATTCCTAGAAGTGGGATCACTGGATCAAATGGCAGTTTAATTTTTAACTTTTTGAGGTAACACCAAAGGGTTTTCCATAGTGGCTGCACCAGTCTGCATTCCCACCAGCAGTGTATTAGAGTCCCCTTTTCTCCACACCCTCGCCAGCACTTGTTGTTTGATGATTTGTTGATGGTGGCCATTCTGACAGGTGTGAGGTGATACCTCATTGTTGTTTTAATTTGCATCTCTCTGATGATTAGTGACATTGACCATTTTTTCATATATCTCTTGGTGATTTGTATGTCCTGTCTGAAGAGGTGTCTCTTTAGGTCCTCTGCCCATTTTTTAATTGGGTTCTTTGTCTTCCTTTTGTTGAGTTGTATGAGTACTCTATATATTTTGGAAATTAAGCCCTTATCTGATGTATCCTTGGCAATATGCTCTCCCATATAGTGGGTTCCCTCCTTCATTTTGATGCTTGTTTCTTTTGCTGTGCAGAAGCTTTTTAGTTTGATGTCCGGTGTATTAATTTTTGCCTTTGTTTCTGTTGCTCTAGGTGATGTATTGGTGGAAAATCTGCTACTTGTGATGTCTGAGATTTTGCTGCCTATATTTTTTTTAAGAATTTCTAGGAATAAATTTAACCAATGAGATTAAAAAAAAAAAAAAAAAACCTGTTCTAGGAACAAGACAGGGATGTCCACTTTCGCCACTCTTATTTAACTTAGTACTAGAAGTATTAGCCACAGCAATCAGACATAAGGAAACAAATAAAAGGGATCTAAATTGGAAAGGAGGAAGTGAAACTGTCATTATTTGCAGATGACATGATATTATACATAGAAAACCCTAAAGACTCCACCAAAAAGCTACTAGACTTAATAAATGAATTTGGAAAAGTAGCAGGATACAAAATTAACGTCAGGAAATCGACGGCATTCTTGTACATCAATGATGAACTCACAGAAAGAGAAACTGAAAAAACAATCCCATTTACCATCGCTCCAAAAAAATTACGATACCTAGGAATAAACTTAACCAAAGAAGTAAAGGACCTACTTGCAGAAAACTACAGGACATTGAAAAAAGAAATAGAGGAAGATATAAAAAAGTGGAAGCACATACCTTGTTCATGGATTGGACGAACTAACATCATTAAAATGTCCATACTACCCAAAGCAACCTATAGATTCAATGCAATCCCCATCAAAATACCAATGACATATTTCACAGAACTAGAACACTAGAACAAATATTTCAAAAGTTCATATGGAACCAAAAAAGTCCCCGAATAGCCACAGCAATTTTGAAAAAGAAGGACAAAGTGGGTGGGTTCACAATACCAGATATCAGGTTATACTACAAAGTGACTGTAATCAAAACAGCCTGGTACTGGTACAAGAACAGGCATATAGACCAGTGGAACAGAACAGCGAACCCAGAAATGGACCCAAGGCAATATGCTCAATTAATATTTGACAAAGGTGGCAAGAGCATACAGTGGAGTAAAGACAGCCTCTTTAATAAATGGTGTTGGGAAAATTGGACAGCTACATGCAAAAAAATGAAACTAGTCCATCAACTTACACCATACACAAGAATAAACTCAAAATGGATAAAAGACTTAAATGTGACGCGTGAATCCATAAAAATTCTAGAAGAAAATGTAGGCAACAAAATTTCAGACATCATACGGAGCAGAATTTTCACTGATACATCACCTAAGGCAACACAAATGAAGAAAAAATGAACACATGGGACTACATCAAACTAAAAAGCTTCTGCACAGCAAAAGAAACAATCATCAAAATGGAAAGGCAACCTACTGTATGGGAGAACATCATTGCCAATGATATATCAGATAAGGGGTTAATTTCCAATATATAGAGAGTGCTCATACAACTCCACAAAAGGAAGACAAAGAACCCAATTAAAAAATGGGCAGAGGAGCTGAATAGACACCTCTCCAAACAGGACATACAAATGGCCAAGAGACATATGAAGAAATGCTCAACTTCACAAATCATCAGAGAGATGCAAATTAAAACAACAATGAGGTATCACCTCACACCTGTCAGAATGGCCGCCATCAACAAATCATCAAACAACAAGTGTTGGCGAGGGTGTGGAGAAAAGGGACTCTAGTACTCTGCTGGTGGGAATGCAGACTGGTGCAGCCACTATGGAAAACCCTTTGGTGTTACCTCAAAAAATTAGAAATTGAACTGCCATTTGACCCAGTGATCCCACTGCTGGGAATATACCCTAAGAAGCCTGAAACACCAATCAGGAAGAATATATGTACCCCCATGTTCATAGCAGCACTATTTACAATAGCTAAGATCTGGAAACAGCCCAAGTGTCCATCAGTAGATGAATGGATAAAAAAGCAGTGGTACATATACACAATGGAGTGTATATGCAGCTGTAAGAAAGAAAGATCTCTTATCCTTTGAGACGACATGGAGAAACCTGGAAAGTATTATCCTAAGTGAAAGAAGCCAAGCAGAAAAAGACAAATACCACATGATCTCACTTATAAATGGAATATAATGAACATAACAGTCTGAGGAATACAGTAGACCCAGAAACATGGAAATGGGGCACAGACTGACATCACTCAGAAGAGGGTGTGGAGGGGTGGGAAGAGATAAACCACAAAACTTACATGCATGTATGCATAACCAATAGACATGGACAACAAAGCCAGGGACGAGGCAGGGGTGGGGTGGGGAGGGGGGTGCCAATGGGGTAAAAAAGGAGAAACATCTGTAACAAAAAAATAAATAAATAAAAATTAAAAAACAAACAAACAAACAAAAAACCTGTTCTCTGAAAACTACAAGATGCTAAGAAAAGAAATAGAGGCTCTTTCCAGCCAGCGCCAAGCCATGGACATCTCCCAGGACAACTGGCACAAGCGCCGTAAGACTGGGGGCAAGAGGAAGCCCTACCACAAGAAGCGAAAACACAAGCTGGGACGCCCTGCTGCCAACACTAAGATTGGACCCCGCCGCATACACACGGTCCACGTGCAGGGAGGCAACAAGAAGTACAGAGCTTTGAGGCTGGATGTGGGCAACTTCTCCTGGGGCTCAGAGTATTGTACGTGCAAAACAAGGATTACTGATGTTGTCTACAATGCATCCAACAACAAACTGGTCTTCACCAAAACCCTGGTGAAGAACTGCATCGTGCTGTTGCAGCACACCATGCCACAGTGTACGAGTCCCGCTAGGCACTGC